GGATGTAGCAGAGTTGTGTAGACAGGATATGATAAATGCTTCAAGATTTCGGGCAGTTACCTGAACCCCGTTTATAGAACACAGCTAGGGAAATATTCCGTAGGGGCCACTCAGAAGCACCCAAAGATAAAATGTACAAGTAAACATAACCATTATATGTTGGTAAAATATGTGGGGCGGTTTGGTGGCAGTCTTATGTCCAGTATCCCTATAGGAATGAAAAGTGTTGTTGTCCTGAAAATGTTCTCTATGGATAGAATATACAAGAATATCTAACCAAATATACGCTAACCCCTGTCTACCATGTCTAGATTCAAACCGCGCGGGGTGCGACATATCTGACGTGCATCATCGGGTACAGTTGTCCAAATGACCTGACTGACCTCCCTGCCAACCTGGTCGATTGCATCCATCGCCCAAAGGACATCAAGATGCTCATACTCTTCAATGATTTTCGAATGAACAAGACTCACATGAGGCTCACGACCGCTTTGGAAGCGATTCAGAAGCCGGCGACCATCAACAAGAGCATCGGAGCCTCCGATCCAGAATGCAAACGGGGGTGTTCTCGGGCCATACCATGGGCTCGGGGCCGGGGTTCCTAAACAAGCATCTGCGGGATCGTCGCCGTGATAAGAAACGGGGTCTCGCATATGTGGGTTCGCGTTTGTCTCCTGGAGGAGCTCGTTGTCGGTGGACAAAATACATTTATGTTTCGCAAAGCTGTCACTTCCCAACCACCAACGCATCGACTCAGCGCTGACATATACAGGAGCGAATTGGAACATTCTATGGCGAAGATCACGCTCCCAGCGCGTGTCGGACCAGGAGAACAAAAAGGAGAACACCCAATATGCTAGGGTTCCATATATCCTAGGCGGGAGCAGGCGCCGAGCAGTCATCATGGAGGGAATGAAAGAGTGGATTCCGAAGATCACTCGGAACATCTCTGGAGAGAGAAGGCTCATGAACCGGAAATATGGTCTGCTCACAAGGGGACCGGCATACGCAGCCGGCGCAAGCGCGCAGAAAACCGAGATGTATTCACCCAGCTCAGGACGATGTTCCTTGGCTAGGGCAACGAATGTCTGCGTGGTTCCTTGGGAGTGGCACACAAGACCTAGCTTTTCGAAGCCAGTCTCGTAGAGAACACGTGATGTGAGTGCTGCAAGGTCCAGGGTCCCGAGGTGCCGAATATCCCAAGACCACATACGCGGGTCGTCGGTCGACAAAGTAGTGTGCTCTGGATGTGATCCACAGCGGTTATTCCCTAGCCAAACATCATACCCTGACTTGCAGAGGTAAAATGCCAGACTATCCTCGTCGTTGGTACAGAATGCACCAGCGCTTTGCAGCAATCCATGAACCAGGAGAACAGGATACCGACGGTTAGATTGGGGACGAGATGTATTCGGCATTCTTGGCTTGGTGAAAACATCAGGCCCACGCTCACGCCGCTCTTCTGGTGATAGTGCCTCATACTCCCGGGGATTGTACACATGCCACAGGGTGATAATGAAACCATCCTCCGTCTGAACACGAAATGTTTCCACGTCGAGACCAACTCGGCGGGCATAGTATGCAACGTCTCCAACCACAGGATCCTTGCCTCCTTCCAACGATGGGCATTCTTGGCATTCTTCGGGTCCCTGTTCCTCGTCCATATCCCTTTTCTGTTGGCGCAGAGCCCATCTCCGGTCGGCATTAGCTCGCGCTTTCCTGCGCGCCTGTTCCTCTGTATAGAAATACCTCATCGTGTCTGGGTTGTGACCACTGCATCGCAGGCGAGCTTCCGAAATTGCGACTCCGGCTGTGTGAACCAGGGCCCCGACAAATATGGCTGTCAAAAAGCATAGCGACAGAAAGAACGAGGTAACAATGAAAGAATAGTACTGGACCCTGCGCAATGCAGACGGTGGGCCATACGACGGCATCGGTGGGAAAAGCGGGTGTTCTGCAGTCAGGAAATGAAGGCCGGACGACGGCTGTTTTTCTCTAAACGATGATGTGCCAGAGAAGTTCATGGCCGTCGCAGCCTTACTGTCGCTGACCATCGTCCCCCCGCTCCCTTTCTTCTCCGGTTGTATTCGATCATATTGAACGTCTCGGATGGCTGCGCCGGCGTGACTCGTCTCCGCACGTGCGGTCGATATAAGGGGTTCGAGCGGAATTGTTGTGACCGGCATTGTCATAAGCTTCACTCGTCATCCGGGATCCAAAGTGGTCATTGTGATCTCTATTTCTAAAATCCAGGAATAGCGAGTAGAGGACGGAGAACAAAAGTCCTAAAACATCATCGAGGATGACTGTGGATTGCTGCTGCTATACATGCCAAGGCCGATTTTTGGCACGTGACCATTCAGGGACAGGCATGTGACTGTGGATCCACGTGGCCAATCGGAGATCCCACGTTCACTGCGCTATAAATAGAATGGCGATGTCGACTATGTATTTGCGATATAGAATCCATGCTGTCTATTGAAGTTTCTGCGGACTTCATAAATGAGGATTGTCTTATCTTAATTCCATTATAGAACAATATCGCCTCTAAATAAATACGAACACAATGGGTATAAAACGCGTCAGACATCAACAGCTCTTCCATTGCCCTCTGCTGCCATTGCTTCTCTTTCATCAAGCGTAAGCTCACTCTTGGCTTCTCGGATTCGCACGAAAAAGATAACAATAAGCATTCCTAGGATCGCTAGTCCGGTTTGGTACCAAAACACGGCCTTGTAGCTGTCGACAGTACCCAACTCGGAAGTCTGGGTATGAACAATATCTGCGAAACCAAGCATCACGGCGATTCCCATGTGCAGAGTGCAGTTGATCAATGCACCAGCCAATCCTTGCCTTGCTTTTGGAAGGTTTGTCGTGATGAAGACATTAGCGAGATTGAAGCTGATGTCAATGCCGACTGTGCCACATATCATCGCCGGGAATACGAATGCCCAGTAGTTTCCGCCAATGGGGATGACAGCAAAGAACAATCCAGAACCCACATAGCCGAGACATGATATCAACATCAAGATCGTTCCTGGGACTCTGTGGAAGATCATTCCTCCTCCGACAGAGAGAATAAGGCCGCCAACTGCCATAGGCACAGCCCATGCCACGATTTGCATTGGGGAAGCACCCATTATATCAGACATGCTATAAATTTTGTCAGCAAAAAGTCCAGTCTGAGCGAGATATTCAGGATATAACTCACTAGAGAACGGCATACAGTAAAAATATGCCTAATGTGCCATAAAGGAATAGCAAAGCGATAGCCAAAGGCATCATATACTTGACTCGGAAAACGTCACCAGGAAGCAGAGGGTTCTTCACAACCCATCCTTCCACATAAATCATGATTCCAAGGAGAATGAGTCCAAGTGCGAGGAACAAAGGGATATATGGTGTTTTCCATCCTTGCGGTGCATAAGAACTGTCCGCAATGGCAAAAACAATGAGCACAGCCGCCGGAATGGAAAGACACGCACCAGGCCAATCCATCTGGATGCCCAGTTTTCTCTTCTCGGAATAATCTCGCGGGATGGAGAAGAGTGACAAAACTGATGTGATAGCGGAGAGAATTGCTCCGAAGAAGAAATACCATCTCCAAGTGAGATATTCACCAGAGAGTCCGGAGAAGAAAATTCCCACGAAAAAGCCCAGCGCTGCACATGCGCCATAAATACTGAAGACGATGTTTTTTCTGGGTCCCGGTCTATAGGTGCTGCCAAGAACCATAATTCCCGACGGAAGAAAGGCAGCGAGAGCGAAACCCTGCAACGCTCGACAAATAATTAACATCAGCCATGTTTGGGAGACACCACATAAAATGGAGGATATCGTGAGCCAAATAGCCCCACCGCTGTAAATGAGATATCCGCCAAACATGTCGGTTAATCTGCCGAAGATAAGGAGCGTCGAGGTCACGACCAGCGATAATGCGGTAGACGGCCATATGGCCGAGGCTTCGGGAAGGTCAAGCTCTTTCACTAGCGTTGGAAGGAGGACATTTGAGCCTGAGATGTAGTATTCCTAGCAAGATGTCAGAATTTTTCCTCGTGGTGTAGCATCATCGTCGGCAACTTACTGCAAGAATTTGGGACATGAAAATTGAAAGACAGAAAGAAATTTCAGACCAAGGGCCAGCGAAGCACTTTGGACGCTCTCTTCCCAATCTCTCCAAATCGACAGTCTCTTGATTTATCCTGGCCTGTTCCGGGTCATGTTGTATGGCCCCATCGCTCGGGCCAGGAGCTTCTGGCGCTCCCATGATACTTTCTCAGAGGTGTGTGTTTTGTCTTAGTGCTGGATTACAAGTGAGCGGTGCACCATTGTATGCGTGATGAAAAAGTTTTTATAACCATGATGAGTGGCCATTTCTAAGCAATGACGCCCTAACAACTACAGACTAACAGACCCAGAAAAATTGTAGTAGTCTCTGATTAATATTGCCCGTTTCTAGAAGACTACTATAATTTTTAGCACGAGGGAAGCAAGATGATTTGTGGGTTCCAATAGATTCTGGGGGGTTAAATCTCCGTGCCAAGACTTCTACTCTGAGCTTCCTTTTTAGGAAGTTGTGAGGAGTGGGGCTGACGAAATCGGAGGCGACGTTGACCATCGGCCTCATTCAGGGGCTTCTCAGATTGGATATCTTCGTGTTCGTATAAAAATATTCAATGCAATGCAATGTCTTGTTGTCAATGCATATTCTCCGGAGATCTTAGGCTCTATATTTCGCTGCCCAGCCAAGTTCGTTTGAACCCAGTTAGTTACTGATATGTTCAATCACATGTTTGACCCCTCTTTGATGGATCGTAGATTTGCTTATTTGCTTATTTCCTTATCTTTCTGACTTCGCTTTTAGACCCAACAAACAAAAACCAGTTCCCCACACCGAACGTTAAACACTATATTACCTTTTTAGGCACTCGGCCAGTACAAAGCTTAAATTATTAACTTCGGTACCTTGATCTCCTTGTAATAATATATAGCCAGTGTCCATGCATCAGAACCTCGATGATGCAATATGTCTTCTGGGGTTAATCTCAGAACGTCCACCGGACCTCCAAGAACCAACACAACAGACGGAACCTAGTGATATCGATAAAGAGTTGGAATCATATCTCAATGACGAGGAATTCGACGACCCAGAAGATCCAACTGTATCGGGTGCCGATCCAGAACATGAACAATATCGCATCGAGCTGAAGAACCAATTCCTCGACCGACTTGCCGTAACTCTAGCTCGCTTCAAAACTGTGCCCGGGCCAAGACGTCGAATGGTGCAAGACATATCTCCGCACTTATGATGGTCTGCTATGAAGACGAAGGGCGCGTCAAAATATTTTGCGCTAAGAATGAGGGGCTTGAGCAGGAAGATAAAGACTTTCTGACTAGATGGAAGTTACTTATGTCGATCATCGATCGATGGAGATGATAATGACAGAAATTGAACAGCTTAAAGATCAGGATATTCGTTCCATGTTCGAGCTTGAATCTCCAAGCGGAATGCCTCTTGGAGGTGTTTCCATCTCACGCAAATGCAAGTCATGTGGTCAATCATGTGGACTTCGTTGCTCAGCCTGTCGGATGAATTATTGCTCAAGGAAATGCCAATCAAAAGACTGGTTTAGACATGTCTTCGTCTGCTGTGTCAAGAATCGACCCAATGACGTGGGCTATCTAAAACTCTTGACCAAGCAATGGCTAGCCGAAATGAAAGACCTGGTCCACAGAGCTCATTTCCTAACAGCTCGCTTTCGGGACGATGATCTCTGCAAAACTTTCGGGTTCAATATTTGCATGCGTGAAACGGACGTCGCCAATCTTCTCTGCTTATACAACAATTTGACCTGCCGATTTTCATCAAAGAAACTTCAACAATTTGTCGAGCACCATACTCTTGGTGGATTTATTGAGTATTCGATTCAGTGTCAAAGCGCCCAGACTAACAGCCGAGACTGCAGTTGCTTCCCATGGTTTTTCAGTCTGTATCAATCACCCTCTTTCGATATCCCTCATTATGATGGACAGTACCTCTACCAACTTTGGGCCATAGAAAAACTAGAGAAGGCTTTTTCGATTCATTATGACACTGTCCCATCCGGGCCAGAACACGTTGTTTGGCTTTTATATAAGACGCTTCTCCAAGACTTCAACAACATTCCCAATGTTGGTGATCCAGAGTGGATTAGGTTCGGCTTCTGCTATTGCACAAGCAAAGCCCAGATGGAACTCCTTGCAAAAGCTTACATCCAGCTTTCCACCCACGCATCGCTCAATCAAATAGCAACAGCATGGGGGTCAGATACATTACTTGATTCCATGGTAGCCAAAGGATATCAGTTCTCATTTCCGATGAAATCTACCCCCGTCAACCTTCTCCCGAAACAATGAGCATCTACCGCTTTATGCCAGAGGTCGCGCACAGTCTCAATGGGTGTCCAAGTTGCCCATGCAAGAACGCCAGATGCAAATACCATTCCAAAGATGAGCCTTTGCTTTGCCAAGAATCCGAAGTCAACTACGGATTCCATTCAGTTAATACCTGGGAGCGCTGGCAACTGTTGAACTTTTATTCCGACCTCTTCGCGAATCCGAAGTTCAATCCACAGAAGATGCAAGAAGCAACGCGACATTCAGATGCACAGGTACTTGAAACATATATCGAATCCTTGGTTCCGGGGTTTCACCACATAATCTGGAATGAACATATGACAGATGGAACGTTTCCCAAACTTACGTCTCGATTAAAATTCAAGGACGTTCAACCATCATGTGAATGTTTCATTCATACAATTCCTGTCTCCGAGGGCCGGAATATAACGTGAAGATGGAAATTGATTGGCTCCGTGAGCAGTACGAAGAGAGAAATAGAGAGCCGATTCCTGAATTATAAATCGGGTGTGACGGATTTACCTGTCAGCTACCATTTGACTTTCTCCAAGTTATAACACATTTGTCTCATATCATAAAAGAGTTACTTCTGCACTTGACCAGCTCCAGGGTCCGTTTCACAAAGAGACTCTTAACATTTGGCTCGATAGCTACAGTAAGGAGCACAAACCAGAGGTATGCCACAAGCTTGGGTGGCATCTCCATGAGTAGAGAGAACAAGCAAGTCAAAAGTCAATATATCGATCTCAATATTTTTTTTCTCGTCGTACGCGTGTCCTGCACGTGATATGGTACCTATGCGGTTGCCTAATGTGTTTCAAAGCTGGCACCTCCTGATGCCAAGGAATCAACAAACAACAGTATACGCGTGCGGCCACTTCATTCTCTTCCCGTCCGATACTGAGCATCCGTCATTATCAGTCCGGGATTTGAAGTCAATCTCAAGCTGCTCTACTGCACCATTGATATGGCGCCTGCTATATCACGCACAGATCGAGTGTGGTCTCGGAGAGAAATCGAGGGATTGATAGCAGATGGTCGAAAGATAATCATATTTGGTAGTCAAGTACTCAAGGTCGACGCGTGGATACCATATCACCCAGGCGGTGATAAATCAATATTACACATGGTCGGTCGGGATGGGACGGACGAAATCACAGCATTACACTCAGAGGAAGCACAGGCATATATGCAAAAATATGTGATAGGAAGAATAAATGGAAGATGGGAAAATTTCTTACCCCCAATACAGGGAGGGATATTCAGAACACTGGTATCGAAGGACGACGACGAAATTGAAGATACCAGCTCATCTGGACAATCGACACCGCCATCACTCATATTCGATACTGAGCACACAGGAGATGAAGTGCGTCGGAGACATGTAGGCAATGATACGCCTATTTCTCGGACTTCATCATCGGAGCCGGAATCGGAGCAATTCGAATGTGTGGAAGCATCAACAGCTCACGCGATATCATCAGACCTTTCAAAATATCCTCGTCTTGATCCAATGTCACAGTATGAGGTTATTTCGAAGTACCGCCAGCTCGATGAAAGACTGCGGTCCGAGGGACTCTACCAATGCCCATATAGCTCCTACGCTGTGGAATTTATCCGATACTCCACTCTTTTTGTTCTTTTCTTGACATGCCTTCACTATTCCTATTACGTTCTTTCCAGCCTTTTCCTCGGGTTACTCTGGCATTTGCTTTCATTCCTCGTTCATGACGCCGGTCATTTAAGTATAACACATGGGTTCCACACGGACAGCTGCATTGGGATTTTTGTTGCAGATTTCATCGGTGGTCTTTCAGTCGGTTGGTGGAAACGCAATCACAACGTGCACCATATAGCAACCAACTCGCCCGAGCACGATCCAGATATCCAACATATGCCATTTTTCGCCATCTCTCCTCGATTCTTTGGTTCATTATATTCGACCTACTACGACCGCGTTATGCCTTTTGACGCTGCGGCACGGTGGTTTATCAAGCACCAGCATTACCTCTACTATCCCATACTCTTAATGGGTCGTTTCAACCTATACCGCCTAGCATGGTCATATCTACTAGATCCGAAGCAATCGCCTCGTAAAGGCTCAGCATGGTGGCATCGCTACCTTGAAATGACCGGCCAGGTGTTTTTCTGGTACTGGTACGGCTACCGAACGTTATACCTCTCGATCCCAACGTGGTCATCCCGCATTGCATTCCTGTTCATTTCACATATGGTCACCGCTCCGTTACATGTCCAACTCACGCTTAGTCACTTTGCCATGTCGAGTGCCAACGGGGGTGTCCACGAGTCGTTTGCTCAGAAAATGGTGCGGACGACGATGGACGTCGATTGCCCGCCTTGGTTGGACTTTATACATGGCGGTCTCAATTACCAAGTCGTGCACCATTTGTTCCCTCGTCTCCCGAGACATAACCTACGCCGGGCGCAGAAGTATGTCAAGGAGTTCTGCGAGGACGTCGGAATTCCTTACGTGATATTTACTTTTACGCGTGGGAATCAGGAGGTCATTAGCAGACTGGGCGAGGTTGCTGAGCAATTGAGGGTGATGGAGGAGTGCAGAAAAGTCGCTGCGAAGGATTTAATTGAGGGTCACCACAGTCATTGATTGTTTTGTTTTGTTTTGTTTTGTTCCTTTCTTTTTGAGTATATATCCAAAAGAAAAAAGTAAATAGAATGTGATTCGGCTGAGTTCAAGTGCGGCTTTATCCCTCATAGTCACGATCCGGTAATTATCTAACCTTTGGCTACATACTCAAGGCATTTTACCCTCACAGTATCATCGAACCTTGTTTCTATCTATAGCTCCTTCTCGTATCCCAAGGTAGTCACAGGGTTAATTAGTTCACTTTGTGTGTGTGTCAAATCTTTTTGCATCGGTGCGCCATGCAAAATGCAATTTCAAAATGCACGACGGCTATTCTCCTTCCTACAGGTCCTTGAGATAAAGTGATTACTCATGGCAATAAGATTTCCCACCTGCAGGTTCCAAGGTTCCTGGTGAACTCTTATTCAAAACCATAAAGAACCAGCTTTTGCGATGTTGAGCATTGAGATAGAATCCCAGATACTCAAATCTTACTACTCACTTCCAACACTCCGCTTACCACTTTTTTCACTGTTTATATTTTTTTTTCCATGTCGGCAAATAGATAAACTTGACTTCCGTAACTCGATATATCGCTATACAACATACAATATACGGTATATATCGTCTTTCTACTCAAAACGGTAAACTAGGAACCTCAAAAAGTCCCCTTTTCGAACTCCTATCCTTTTTGAAGAAGGTGACATGGAAAAATCAATCTAAATGCCACAAATTCCGAGGTCAGATAGTAACCTCATTGCGGGGGGGTTCCCATTCTAGGAATCTTCGGTGACGATCAATGTAACATCCCTCGCAACCTCAACAATTTGGACAATCTAAAGCAATCACAAGTCAAAATGGGAGTTCCCAAAATGTTCACAAACCGCGAGAGGTGATATATAGGCAATAATGATAACCACAAGATGGATAGCTTAAACAGCCTATAATCAAAATGAAATTCTCCACGCAACTTCTCCTCCCTTTCTTTCTTGCTCTTGCGCCTTCAGCTTCGGCCGCTTTCCCAAGCGATCTTCAAGCGCAAATTGGTCACCATGTCATCTTCTCTTACCCCGGCCTCGAGCCACCAGCCCATCTCCTCGACCTGATCAAGGAAGGCAAAGTCGGCGGTATCATTCTGTTCGGCGAAAATGTCGGTGATAACCTCACAACCACAATCGACAACTTCCAAGAGGCTTATAAGCAGAGTCCTTACTATTCAGGTAGTCCTCTGTTCATCATGACGGACCAAGAAGGCGGAAAAGTGCGTCGATTGGCTGGCGGACCAGTAGAGAGCGCTAAGCAAATCGGCCAAGCCGCCAATCCGAAAGCAGCAGCGACACAGATGGGCAAAGATGCCGCGAGCACCCTAGAGGCATTCAAAAACAACGTCAATCTGGCACCTGTATTGGATGTTTATCGCGAACCCGGAGACTTTGCCGATGCCTCCCAGCGCTCTTTCAGCAACTCATCCCGTGTCGTCGGAACATGCGGGTCCGCGTTTATCAGCGCGCAACAGTCAGCCGGTATCGTCGCGTCTGCCAAGCACTTCCCTGGTCTTGGTGCAGCAGGTGCAGGCGAGAATACGGATCTACAGCCCGTCACCATTGACTTGACTGTCGAAGAGCTACGCAAGGTGGATATGGCGCCATATACCAATGCCATTGCGGCAGGTGTAGACATGGTCATGACTTCGTGGGCTATCTATCCTGCTTTGGACCCGACCTATCCCTCTGGGCTGAGCAAGACTATTATCCAAAATGAGTTGCGAGGTAGACTTGGCTTTAAAGGTGTCACTATCACCGATGCTATTGAGGCGGGAGCGTTGGAGGCATTTGGTGATCAGGCAGCTCGTGGTTTGTTGGCTGCGCAGGCTGGCGTTGATATCTTGCTTGCGGCTAAGAGGGATGTCACTCAGGGAGAGGATATATTTAATGCTTTGCTTGCTGCGTTGGAAGATGGATCGTTGGACCAGAAGTCATTTTCTGCTGCGACCCAGAGAATCCTGGAGGTTCGGAAGAAGCTTGCCTAGATATATAGCAGTTTTTATATTATATAGACCGAGGCTATATTAACCAGAGTTGCATTACATAGAACAAATAAATTCTATCATAGATTTGGTACTGCGTGTCTCAGTGAAGTCCCGAAGTAAACTTCAAGAATAATCGCCCAATGTTGACACTATGCATGAGGCTTGAATGCCGATCACCATCTACCTATGCGGGCAGATCTTGACCATATCAGAGACCAAGGACTTTATTCTCACTCCAGGTAACGCCAATGCTACCTACGAGGTATATGACTCGCTGTAGTAAATTAATACTATTTTGTCTACCCAAGTTATCTGACCTGTTTCATAATCAAAGAAAAATGGTACTCTGCTAATCCCAGTCTTCCTGGTCCACTATAAGGAGCGAACTTACCTGTGATAATAGCCCGTGACCAGTTTCAATTAATATAAGAAATCTTTCTTGTTGTATCTGCACTATCCAGTTATAAGATTCCAATTTAGAGTGAAGCACGCACTTGCCGACGTGCATACTAGACACACAAAAATGAAAATTTTCTTTGACAATACCACATCCCACGATTATTCCAAAATTTCACCAATTGCACCAAAAAGTGAGTGGGTGGATATATAAGCAAAAAGCAAAAAGAACATGATAAGAGTGGGATTCGAACCCACGCCTCTTGCGAGACCAGGAAACTATTGCTAGTTGTGGAGTCAAGGTATACCTTAACCTGGCGCCTTAGACCAACTCGGCCATCTTACCAGTGAAGATGTATTGCCCAAGAGAATATGGCTAAATAAGCGAGAACAAAACCAAAAACCAGGATGGAACGCAGTATCATGCTCATAGTTCTCACTGACACAATGCAGAGTAGATTTAGCTATCATACATAATAAGGATCCTACTTCAGTGCAAAACCTTGACACAATCAATACATTTCTCTGTAAGGAAAAGTTTGATTCAAACATGCTTTTTAGACAATCTAGCTCTTTCAAATATCTTAATCATCTTATGACATGGGACATGGTTCAAGGTAGCTCATATGCCACACTCACTTCATAGAAAAATTCAGACAATACCCACCCCACTACCCCACCATCCCACCATCCCACCATCCCACTCTAGGCCACTTTTAGCTCAAAAATGATTCAAAAAATCAAAAAAAAGTAGTGACCGACGCAGGGATCGAACCTGCAATCTCTTGATTCGTAGTCAAGCGCCTTGCCATTGGGCCAGCCGGCCATGCTGTTATGGAACTTGGACTCCAGACGTGCGCTATAAGCGAAAACTAAGTAAGATAGTCTTCAGTCACATTGGGGGCATCTATCGTCGTCGCAATTAGACCATACTTCATTTTAATTATATATAAGACTAGTCTAGTGGTAATAGAAATTGCTTATTTTGCTTGTATTGATATCAAATTTAACATTTTACACATATATTTTGATGTCACCATAACTATGCAGGAGCATTATATATATTGCCATCTGACCTATACACAGGCTGCCTGTCCACCATCAGTTACTCTGATATATTATAAGGTATCTAATACTATATCCGGGGCTGTTTTACAACCCCACGGGTGTAGGAAAACACCCACAAAAGGCCATTGGACGTTGAGAGATCTTCTAGTGAACATTCGAAGTTACGCGGATGAATCGGCATCAGATGGAAAGTGGAATGTGTACGAAGTACGGTGTAGGAAAAAGTAGGCCGTTTTACATAAAACACTGCTACAGTGGGGATTGTTGTTCTCATCAAGTAATGAATCTTGTAGCCCACATAGGTTCCCAATAGTGTCAAGTAGCCTTTGTGACTAGTTTAGCGACAGAAGCATGCAAGACACCACACGGCGAGCATATATTTGGTTACTGCTGCAATACCGCATAGTAACCATAGAAAATTGTGTACATATAATGTTGGGGACCAAGCACAGTCCGCGCTGGAATGTACAAAACAGACAGATATTGTTATGGTGTGAAACATATATGAGTACTTCTAGAAGTTAGAGGCAAAGAAAGGCACTGCTTGATTTTGGCCCCCACTGTTCTAGGTCCATATTATAAAATAAAATACGGAGTACAAACGCCACAAACAATGCATGTGGCGACGTAATAGCGCTAAAGGTACTAGGCTATAGAGAAAACTACGATTAGGGCTTTCACGTTGTGTTGTGCGATGTCCTGGTATGAAGGTTTCTTAAGGGCTTAGCGAAGTGAGTACCTTAGGAGTTAGGCCTATAAGCGGGTATCGTTGAGAAAACAGAGGAGTGAAGGTATACCTACATACTTCGTACACATACCTATAACATTCGTAGTGCTGCTGTAGTGATAAGCCCCACTGGAATCGGTTGGTTTCATAATAATATCAGGTATGGTAGGATATCCCTTGCAACCCTTCCAAAGGGTGCTTTTGCAGGGGTTCTCAAAGGGGATACAGCCACATACGGTTAGAACAAACAGTGTATACCAGGATCAGAGGATAGGAAAGAATTGATTCATGGATTGGTTCGGAGGCCGCAACAAAATAATGAAGGTCCGATCCAATGGGAGATTTCCCATAAGGCTAGGCCGATCTTGAGTACGGGAGGTGGGCCCGGAAGTCTCTGAGATCAAGTTGCGAAGACAAGAAATAAAGAAAAATTGGCTATAAGCCGAAGCCAATCCCTGCGTGTTTCTAGTGCTTCTTTTGAGACATTTATTTAGGTGAAACTGAGGGTTTAAATAACAAAGTCCTACCCCGTACAAAAGTCCCCAAAGTGAAAGAAGATAAGTCTCGCCACCACGGACTAGACCGGAGGTGGTTCCGCCCTAACCATTTTGAGCTCCACTGCGTCAACGGCCTTTGATTATCTCTTTGTATTTTTTTGTCCCTGGAACCCCTCCTCTTGTCTAACCCTCCGTCATTCCCTATTTCTTTTTCTTTTTCCTTTTCCCATCTCCATTACAGGTTATCTGTATTCTACTGATTCGACGATCACCCCCTTTATTCCGTGGAGCTCTCATCGAGCGCGCCACAAACCGCAAGCTACCATGGGGCTGTCCAAAACAAACAGGATTTTGATCCTGCTGGTCATCGATACTGCGTTTTTCTTGCTTGAATTAATCACTGGTTCGTATCTTGACAGCTTGATCGTATGCGACCGGGTTCTGACTTTTATTTCCTAGGTTATGCCGTCCACTCCCTTGCCCTTGTCGCCGATTCCTTCCACATGGTACGCTGCCATCTACGATCTTGCTCTCTGGCCGAAGCTAACCACGAATAGTTGAACGATGTATTATCATTGTGTGTCGGACTATGGGCAGTCAAGGTCGCAAACCGGGAGACCACCTCCAACACGTACACCTATGGCGTAAGTCGATGGCCAATACCAACCGCGAAGGACGATCTGACAATTGGATTTTTTTTTAATACAGTGGCAACGAGCAGAGACACTTGGTGCCTTGGTCAATGGCGTGTTCCTAGTCGCCCTGTGCATGTCGATTTTCCTGGAGGCAACCCAGCGATTGTTCGAACCCCAGGAAGTGCAAAACCCCCGATTTGTTTGCATTGTTGGCTGCTTCGGCCTAGCTTCCAATATCATTGGATTGGCGCTATTCCATGACCACTCCCACGGACCCGGCGGCCACGACCATGGTCACGGCCATGATGAACACGACCATGATCATGATATCGAGGCTGGTGAACATGATCACGACCACACCACAATTGCCGATCAGAGTGAGGACATGGCGTCAGCTACCGCCGAACCATCCCGGAAACAGCGCGACTCAAGGAGATTCAGCACAGAACGCGGATTCGTGAGCCCCGACGATATTCCCGTACTTCCCGAGAGACTGAGACAAGGAATTATCGCCGCCAGCCAATACCGGAACGAACAATCATCGGATTCGGAGAATGGCCATGATGAGGATGAGATCCCAACTGAGCGTTCAGGTCTTCTGAGCCACCGTGATCGCACCACCAACTACACCGATGAGGAGGGAGCTCCAGTCAAGGTCCACGACCACCGCGATGAAGATGTCCACAAATCTCACAACCATGCTCAGCCCAAGCCGAAGGACCATAAGAAGGGTCACAATCACGATCTCAACATGCGTGGTGTCTTCCTCCATGTCATGGGAGATGCCCTCGGAAACATTGGTGTCATCGTTTCTGCGCTTGTTATCTGGTTGACGGACTACGAATGGCGCTATTACGTCGACCCGGGCATTTCCCTCGTTATCACACTGATCATTCTTGCATCCGCCATTCCGTTGTGCAAAGCTGCCTCGCGTATCCTCCTTCAGGCCGTACCCCCCGGTATGAGCATTGAGCATATCAAGGAGGACATCGAGGGTCTTCCTGGTGTCATTGGCTCACACCACCTGCACGTTTGGCAACTCAGTGACACCAAGATCGTGGCCTCAATTCACCTCCAAGTCGACACCGAAATCAAAGGTGAAGGTTCGGAGAGGTACATGCGCCTGGCCAGACAGGTGAGACGCTGTCTCCATGCCTACGGTATTCACTCTTCGACTATCCAACCTGAGTTTGCACCGGAAAGTGACACCGAAGACAATGGACAAGCACCGTCCCGGGACACCGATGACCACGTTCCCAGTCGGACTGGCAGTCTTCGGGAGGGTGACCCTCAAGCATGCCTTCTGGAGTGTGACACAAACTGCGCCCGAGGAGGCCAGTGTTGCCCTAAAAAGTGAACTTGATTTCCTGACGTTGAGACTTTTCACACACCTTCGTTTCTTATTTGGCACCATGACCCCCAAACATCTCACCCCTACGGTTTTCCTATTCAGATACCCTATCTTTTATCCTCACCTTCTTTGTTTGGGTAGATTCCCAAAGACTTGCCCCACTCATTCCCCATATTAATTGTCTGGTCTTTTTTAGAAGTGGTAGTTCTCCCTTGGGCCAACCAATTTTGGGAAATGCATGGCAAAGCATGCCATGCAATAGCATCCTATTTGCGGACATAGACCCGCTGACCCGCTGTATTCTTTGGACTGCATTTTTTATGTACTTCTATCTATCTCTAATTCAATACCTGCGAATCAACCTTAGAAATGTGTATATATGTAAAGTATGATATAATAAAAGTGACTCGATATGGTTGACAGCAAAGACATTCTGGAGAAGTCGAACCTGCTTCTAAAATGGGCATGGCCTTTTCTACAAGGAAACACCGTTGCAAATGTTCCAAGGATTTATGGCAATTTATTTGCTGGGATGAGGTACCATCTTTACCAATGGAAAAGCTTCAACATACCCCTCCTGCAAACTCGGATTATTCAAGCAGTTCCGGACTCATCCGTCTTGTGTTGATGATCGGGAAGCTGTTTTTGGGGAATAAGAAGTGATAAGAGAACGGCTGCTACCGCACCGGCTAGACTAAAGGCGAAAATGTCCTTGATCCTGACTATATAAGCATTGATCACGGCTTTAAGCTCTTCACCAGTAAAGGCATGCTGGATCTCGGCTGCACCTATGCCCAGGTCCAGTGAGCTGTCGATATTGGAGTTGAAGCTCTCCAACGTCTGTAGCATCCGGTTGGCGAAGAGGGACTGACACACTTTCCCGGGAGTTAGTAAAAACTCTTGACTTACGAAGAGAGACAGGAAGTATTCATATTGAGTATGATACTAGTGGAGCTTGCCACGTCTTCTGGCTTTGAAAAACCCTGAACTGCAGCCATGGGGATCTGGTTACCCAAGCCGAGCCCAAAGCCATAAAGAACCTGAGGCCTAAGGTAACGGGCCTGAGATGTGTCTACTCTCATCGTATAAAATAGAGCCATACCACCCACCATGATGAGTGCACTATTTAACTGAAAGGGCATAAGGTGGTGGGTTTTTCCGATGAGACCGCCGCTCATAACAGCTCCCAAGGAGAAGAAAGCCAGAAATGGGAGTGTATCCACACCACTCATGATAGCTGTCTTACCATGGATAGATTGGAAGTATATAGGGAGATAAAACATAACCTGATAGAATGAAGAGTTGGAGCTGAGTAAGCACGCAATGTTAGCTCTAGGACAAGAGACCAGGGGGGGAGTGGCTGGGTACTTACATATAGCACCACAAAGCATTAGCCCATGTCGTAAGAGGCCTGATATGCCCGGGTACCCCCAAGAACAGTAAACACATAATGACAATTGGACCTCCAAGAGGTAGATTGATCCAGAAACACCACCGCCAAGAGACCTCACTTGTAAAGACACCGCCGAGAACAGGCCCGAGGATGGTCGATACCATAAAGACTCCCATCCAGCAACCGATCAACACTGGACGCTTTCTTGGCTCGGCCACGACACTAATAAGAAGAACTGATCCACCAAGAGTCCCCGCAGCCCATAATCCTTGGATTTCTCGGCCGATGATTACAGAAAGGCTGTTCTGAGCAGAGGCAACGACACTGAGATTATCAATAATTATTAAAGATATTATAAACAATAATCTCTCCGCCTGTTAAAGAACTCGGGGGCTTCCATCTGTGCAAGTGATTTATCATTCATCCGCCGGATACCAAACATTGAAGGAAGCTTAATTAGGATTAGCGTTAAGCTTGTCCGTCGAACCCGCAGCCACTAGGACTATTACAGACTAGCATCATTTTCGACCACCTCCAAACAAAAGAACCCCCTTGCCCACCGGGCATCTGCAGCATATTTTTTGGTCACATTTCCGCAACATGTCAAATCTAGGTCAACCTTTAGATCCGATATCTCCGCCGCATGTAAAGCGCCAAAAGTTCCGCAAAGGGACCCACAGCTGCTGGGCATGCAAGCGGCGGAAGTTGAAATGTGTATTTGACCCGCTCGGTAATACAATCTGCAAGCCATGTCAAATTTGAGGATCTAAATGCGCTAGCCAAGGGTTTTCCGAGGACATCTGGATCCCTGATACGCGTGCTGGTAGAGGAACTATCGGTACCGACCAAGGACAAACACCTTTGACGTCCAGTGAAGATAATTTCAATTGTGTAATTTCTACCCAATACTGGATTCAGCTAGCATTCAAATATTGCAGACATCTGGATATGCAAATTTCTGTAGTATGTACTTTGTATTGAACCCAAGTAAATGACACGTTCTACTTACGATCTAAGTCAACATAGAAGTTATTCAATCAACCCCCCTCGGAAATGATCAAAATTTAACTCCAACAATGCCTCCGATGCTTCCTCAAGAACCAGGCAGGTAATGGTGATGGAACCCTTCTGACTTTGCAAACTTGAAAAGATACTATGTATAAAGGTCGCCGGGACATCATTGAAGTCTCCCGAGGTCAATTTGTAAAGGTGACTCAGCCTTTACAAGATCACTCTGTACCATTTACAGTTTAGACTGCTCCAACACCGACAACATCCGAAGAGGAGGTCCTCCACGGCTCCCATCCCCAGCCATAACAACAGGCCCCGACTCCTTTGTCGGTGGCTTCAACTTCCATTTCTGACGAATCTCTCTAGAAGCGCGGTTCTCAAAGCAATCCGCAACGTACTTCCCAAGGATGGGGAGGAATTTGAACGCACTAGCAAGTATAGGTGATTAATCAGTCTGCATTCAGATAAAACAGTTGGACGGGATAGCTTACTGTCCAGCACCGCCTGTAGCAACAAATAAACCATCCATTACAGGATGACGATCAATAATAAAGTCTCCGGTCGGTGTATCCGTGTACCAGCAAAGTCTCCGATTCGACCAAGGGCGATCGCCCAGGCTGGGGAAAAGCTGACGCAGTCCATCGCGTAGAGCAGCGTCCGCATCGTCGGGAAGGTACCCAGACGCTACGTTGCTGGAATTGCGTCTGGGGCCAGAGACCAAACGCCCTGTTGCTTCGGAGGGGGCTTCAGTCGCGTAGCCATAGCCGTGGCGAGCGAGTTTGAGAATGTTTGTTCCAGGGGTAGGTGGGAAGGGGAACACGCCGGTTGTCATGTTTATCATCACCGGGGTTTGGGCAAATTTGGAGGCTTCTGCGGGCGTGAGTTGGATGAAGCCGACAGGTTGGCCAGAGGAGGAGGCTGTCTGGGATAGGTCGAGGAGGCGATTTGACCATGCTCCCGTGGCGAGGATGACCTGGGATGCGAGGAGGTGTGTTCCATCTGCGAGATTGACGCCAACGACACGATTCGAGGAATGACGTAGGGAGTCCACTGTTCCCCTGGGACCGGTTATGAAGGAAACTCCTGCAACGCTGCATTAAGAGGCTAGGTGGCTGATGCTACCTGCTGCATCTGCCCAGCCCCCCACGGGGTTGTGGTAGCCTGACGAGGAAGGAAGGTCGGCTTCTATGCTCGGGTAAATGCTGCTCATCTCGCTGATGTTGGAGAACTCATCGACATAGCCGCCTTTGGCGAGGATGTTTTGCTTCGACCCCTCGAGGTATGGATTCTCAGGCGTTTCGGAAAGCAAGATGAAGCCCGACTCGTGGTAGAAGCCTGAATAAGTGCTAGTCCAGCCCTTATAGGCTTCTAGAGCCATCTGGGCGTAAACAGGGTGGGCATAGTCAGCGCGAATGATGCGCGAGATGTCGACACTGCTTCCATCAACGACTGGAGGAACGTGGCGATCGAGCACAGTGATTTTGGTATATCCTCTCTTCGTCAACTCGAGGGCGGTTGAAAGGCCGAACACGCCCGCACCAATGATAAGAATATCATCGCTTTTTTTTACTGCCATTTTTGTGCTACTAACTTTGATATTTCGTCCAGCGAATAGAATAATACAAGAAATGCAAGATAGGAATCGACCCGGACTGGGGGTGTGGTTCTTGAACCCCATGCCACCCGGATCGTTCCCCGGGGGGTCTTGCTCTGGCCACAGACCCGGGGCGCCTTCCGTCCACACCCTCCCCCGCATGCCAATAACACTATCTCGACCCCAAAATGGCGCAGAATGAGGGGCTTAAGGTAATTGGGCTTGGATAGATAGAAAGATAAAAGTATGAAGGAACTGGGCTAAAATTCTCTGGCCATCGATTTTCAATTCGCCTACTCTATCGCAATTCTATTGCTACTATCACAATGAACCGCCTCTTTGGATATGGAGAGCCCGCCAAACCCAGCGAAAATGCCACGCGGCCAAATCTCCCTTCATCATGGTATCGCTCTGAGGCGATGTATAATCTCGAGCGTCGGGCTATCTACTCGAAGAAATGGGTGCTTGTCTCGCACGAAGTGAGATTCCCTGAGTCAGGGAATTACCTGCAGTTGCAGGAAGCCGGTTTCACATTCTTCCTCATTCGAGATCGCCAGGGAAAGATAAACAGTTTTCACAATGCCTGTCGACATCGTGCCTACCCCATTGTGCAGGAGCAGGCTGGCAAAGTGAACATTCTTTCGTGTCGATACCATGGTAAGTTTTTTTCTTCCCTGGATAGTGGGATTTTGGCTGAATACGCTAGGTTGGTCTTACGGATTGAACGGCAAGCTTGCCAAAGCACCTCGGTACCAGGAACTTGACGGATTCGACAAAGAGGAAAACGGACTGTTCCCTATCCATATCCACATCGACAAGCTAGGCTTCATATGGATAAACCTCGACGCCTCAGAAACCCCAGCTGTAGCATGGGAAGATGATTTTGCTGGCGTTGACGAACAGCCTAGGCTTAAGCCATTCGATTTCTCACAGTACCAGTTCGATCATACCTGGGATATGATCGGTGATTACAACTGGAAGACATTGGCAGATAACTACAACGAGGTAAAGTCGTCGGTCGACCTTCTATCGATCCCAACGAGCAGTCACTAATCATGTTTTGTTAAAGTGCTACCACTGCCCAACTGGACATCCAGGCCTCACCCAATATACTGATCTGGGGAAGTACTGGGTCGAGACAAAGGCAAGTCATATCCAACATTTCAATACAGACCGCCCGGACCAGGAAGGCATGGGGATTATTAGTACCTTTTACTTCCCTAACGCGTCTATGACGGTGTCCAAAGAGTTCTTTTACATCATGAGATGTGTTCCGATTTCACTGTCGCAGACACAGATGGAGTACGAGGTTTATAGGCACAAAGACGTGACGGATGAAGATTTCAACAAGATCGACCAGATCTTCAAACAGGTACTGAAGGAAGACAAGGATTTATGTAATGCGGCGCAGAAGAACCTGAACACCGGGGTGTATGTGCATGGGAACTTACACCCGCAACATGAAAAAGGTCCGTTGTTTTTCCAGAAAAGCGTGAAAGATTTAGTGATGAGCCACCACGAGTCAGAGGAAAAACAGGGAAGGGAGATATGGCCTGCGACGCCGGTTCCGGTCATGACTAAAGAGCTGAGCGAGGAGATGGACTTCTGTCGGAAGATTGACTGTCTGGCCAAGAACGGAAACAATGGCCAATTATCTTGGTAGGAGGGTGCACAGCTTTGAACAGGTGCTTATTCGTCTCACGCAACGAGCTGCAATATCTAATAGGTATGGCTCAAGTTATGTATACATTCTCTGTGTTTATTGTTATTCTTTATATCATGTTTAGGTAATAGCGGACACCAATGGTAAAAAATACAAAAGGTCCTAAAGAAAAATACATTGGAGGTATTGGATGTCACCATGACATGTAGCTAATCAGCTAAAAATTTAAATACCTGTAGGTACAGCAACAATTAAAGCTATAGGTGTAAATATAGCAAGTTGTCAATGAACTGCACGTATTGCGATTCCTGTAGAAAATCACTGTCCTACAGTGCGCACTAGTATCACAGACCATCGGAGTGATTCACACTGGCATTGAGATGTCTACAGTCAGTCTACTACACGATTGCACAAAATATGGAGGCCTTTTGGTGGTATTATTTAGCTGTTCAAACACTTATTAAATTAGGTGATTCTTTAGTTACTGGTTAGGATGGTTGGCTGGTCGAAGCTTCTGATAACTCTAATAATCAAGAAAAGCACAGCGTATCGTGTTCTTATGGCTGCGAATGAGGATAACAGTTGCAATTCAGGGAACTACAAACGCTGTGATTTTGACAACCTGATATTATGTGTTTTGCAAGCTATTCTAGATTCCACTGATTCTGGCTAGATTTTACTCATTGGCGCAGTCTTCGGAATGCCAAACTTGGAGATATCATCACTCGTCTTCCCATCAATCGCTAATTCCGCCAACACGCGGCCAAAAGTCGGCGCAAACTTAAACGCATGCCCACCTCCCAAACCAATGAGAATATCCCGGTGCTTCTCCAACGGGGAAATAACAAATTGCCTGTTCGGCGTAATTGCATACTGACACGTCACAGTTCGAAGCACCCGTCCTTTCCCGGGAATAAAGCCCTCCATATGCCTAGTCAGCTCCTGCAGCAACTCCTCCGAATGCACGAACGTGCGCTCCTCCGGCGACATCCGATTGTATGCGATATCCCGCCCTGCCTTGAGTGTCGGCTCACCATATGCTGGGAACCCGTAGTAGAATTTTCCATCTTCCGCGGCGTAGGCCCATACGGGGAATCGGTCCGGTTCGTATGCTTCTGGGTTCTCCGGCTTGAAATACGTGACCTGTTCCTGCATCACGTCAAGCGGGATATCTGCACCCAGCGGCGCGAGAAGCTTGTTCGCCCATGCGTCAGCTGCGATGATCACCTTGCCCGCGGAGAATCGACCCCGCGATGTCTCGATAATAGCACCGTTTGCCTGGGGCAAGATACGATCCACACGCGTGTGCTCCTTTAACAAGGCACCCATAGACCGCGCCATGTACTGCATGGCCGCAACGGACTTAGATGCATGCACGATGCCCATATCCGCCGTATAGATGGTGTGCGAACCCACGGGGACACAAAGCTGCGGCCAACGGGCCTTGACCTGTTCCGAGGTGAGGAGCTCATAGCTGTGCTCATTGGCGTCGAGGCTGTGAGTGTAATCACGGGCAAGTTTCTGCGAACCTTTAGGGAAAACGATGACCCCGCCGGTGATGGTGAGCCATTGCTGGCCGGTGCGCTTCTCCAGCTCACCCCAGTCCTTATATGAGGATTTGGCAAACTTGGCATACTCCGGTGCATCGTAAGAGGTGCGCACGATACGCGAAGTGTCATGAGAGGCGCCGCGAACGTGTCCGAACTCGAATTGTTCGAAGGCGATGACTTTGGCGCCTTTGAGGGCAGAGTGGTAGGCAGCCCCGCTTCCAAGGGCACCCAGGCCAACAACAGCGATGTCGTAGTGCTCCATTGATATGAAGGTAAAATTTGAGTATGGAATTAAGGTATGAATGGTTTTCGCAGGTGGTTTGTTCCTACTGAGTATCACGGATGGGATCTACTTATTGAGGGGCTTGTCGGAGAATCGCAGGAAGAGAGCCGGTCTCTGTGGACCCGGGTTGCTCCCGGGGTGTCACAAATGGAGTCTTATCGCGAGCAGGAAGCTGTTCTCCAATTCAGGTACGTAGTCCACCACCCCTCCCTACCTACCCCGCAAGTCTTGGTGATCCCGCACTTGGATACCGGGTGAGGACGGACCCGGGGCGCCTTCCGCTATCGCCAGGACCCAAGGCTTTGAATATTACGATGTCCATTCCCGCATGTGACTAAGCTATATCAATGAAATCGGAAGAAGTGCTCCACTTCTAAGCACCGGATCATGTACAGGACCGAATACCCTAATACCAGGGCGTGCCGGAGAGCCCAAACACAACCATTCACGCACGAACCCCAGATGCAGCATAATCCCATGCCACTTGATTACAGTACCAACATATTAATCATCGGACAGAACACCCGTGGACAAGAATTTACCGCTCTTTACCATCACCTACATTCCCGCAATTACCAATCACATCTGGTCCCCTGAGGTCAGTAGGGTAGCTCAGTAAGCGGAGTCTAAAGCACCACTTCCCAGTCCAGTTTTCCATATAGCGATACCTTCGGCATTACTATGTAACTATTATTTATATCCATGGATAACTAGTCAATGCTTGGGGTACTTATCGCAAACCATGCAATCCTGAAAGTATTACAGGGCAACTATATATCACGTGATTATACAGGGAATAGAAAGGTAGTAGGTTGATTCTACAAGGAAGAACCCAGGGATATATTAGGATACTCACTTCATGCATCTAGATACTTAGGTGTATCTTTGAGACTTCAGTGACTCTTTAATTTGATTATAACGTGACACCCACTGCGAATTGACCAACACTCTAGTGTATATTAATTTAGTGCTTTACCTAGCATCACTCTTCGATACCCTCGAAAGAACTAAGTCCTTATAAGGCCAATTAGGCAAGTTAGGCTGTGGCAGTATCCCCAATACCCATAAATATCATGTACAAGAGGCATATGACTACACTAAAGTAGATAATTAAGCGAGAGTTATACTGCTGCGGATATCCGCAAAATATCCTCATATCTTCGCGGATAGGGAAGGATGTAAAGCTCAGTAGTGGAGTACACGACCTTGAGTAGCTGAATTGACGCATGCTAATATGCCGAAAGGAAGATAAGACCTACCCATAATTAATGTTAGCGTTGAAGTATGTGAGTGTAATTGATAACAGAAAACCCGTAGTTAACGGTCGCGGAGTGCTCCCCGCCTGGTCGGGCCATTCCCCGTCCACGCTTTGACAGCAAAGATCTGGATCTAGGGCGGCTGGCCTGTGCTGATAAGGAGCATGGTGAGGGGTATGATAGGTTGGTAGCTTGTTAATGAAATCCGGGGTAACGCCCAGGCCTATATTTAAATGCGGAAAGGAGAAATACAGAAAGGAAACCTGCACACTGCACTAGCATCGAATTCCCGACTTTACTGCAAAAATTGAAGCAAAACAATGGACGATGAAAAGCCCGAAAATGTCAAGATGGAGCCTCTTGACGCCGCGATAAGCGTGACTCACGGAAATGTCAGTGTGCTGGCCAGCAACGAGCTGGTGGTTGACCACGTTATCGAAGCAATTGGGATGGGTCGATACCAGTGGCAGCTGCTCTTTTCGTGCAGTTTTGGCTTCCTTGTCGATCAGGTATGCCGGGCCCTACCTACTTGAAATGCTGCTAACCAGCACCAGATGCTCTTAATTTCAATCACAATAATCATGCCAAATGCAGCGAAAGAATTTGGCCCCAGATATCAAACCCTGCTCTCAGCTTCATTGTACGCAGGTCTCTTTGTGGGCGCTGTTACTTGTGGCATCCTTGCCGATCTGCTAGGCCGGAAGCTCATATGGCAGCTATCAATTTTCGGTGTTTCCAGCGCTACCCTGCTGGCCGCGTCATCTCCAAACTGGGCAGCCCTAAATATCTGGACCGCTTTATGTGGGTTCTTGGCTGGTGGTAACTGTATGCATACATTTGCTTCTAAAGCTCTGATATAGATACTGACACACGACAGTGGCCATTGATCTAGCTGTACTGGCTGAGTCCCTGCCGCAGAAATGGACCTTTCTTCTCACCGGTATTGCATGTGTTTGGGGCTTAGGAAACGCCGTCACTGCACTTATTTGTATTACCCCATTGTCTTTTTATTACCCTATCAGAACCACTAAGTCTAACTACCTCTTGTTTTAGCATGGCCTCTTGTCGTCCAATTCTGTTGCCCCAACGGAACCAACCCGGAGACGTGCGCCCGATCTGACAATATGGGTTGGCGATATATCGACATCGTCCTTGGTGGATTATGTTTGATCATGTCCATAGTGCGGTCCTTGATCCTTGGGATGCACGAGTCGCCGAAATGGCTAGTCAGCAAAGGCAGGATTGACGACGCTGTGACGGCACTTAATTCGATCAGCTCTAAGAACAAATCCGAATTCGCAGCGGACCCTCAGCTATTCATTGATATACCACAGGAGCAGATTGCAAAACCTACATGGCTTGAAGATGTTGTTTCGATGCGGGAGTTGTTCTACGGGTGGAAAAATATCAAGCTAATGGGGATCATGATGTTACTCTGGGCGTTTGTCGGAATTTGGTGAACTTGACTGTCGTCTCTCCACCGCCAGGATAATATGTTAACTGGTTCTCTCCAACAGTTATCCCCTCTACAACGTCTTCCTTCCCTACTACCTGGAAGCGCATGGCGCCAATCTGGGCGACGGGAGTAACTACCAGACATACCGAGACCTTGCCATTTCCTCTGTAGTAGGAATCTTCGGGCCCTTGCTAAGCGCCTATTTCGTCAGACTCCCTAAGCTCCGTCATCAAGGGGCACTAGTTATAACAGGCTGTATATGTGCACTCTTCGCTGGATTATTCACCCAGGTCCGAACCGAGGGGCAGAACATTGGGTTTTCATGCATGATTAATTTCTGGCTGAATGCAGTATATGCTGTTATTTACGGGCATGCAGCCCTCCCTTCCTCTTCCCCCGAACGCTTGGAGCTTACCTTTGTCAGATATACACCCGCATGTCTAACAACAAAACACCGCGGCGTTGGGTGCGGAATTCTCATGGCATGTGGTCGCCTCGTCTCTATTTCTGCACCCTTTATTGCAACGTTCGGGGACATTACTTCTGGTGTGCCGCTTTGGGTTTCCTGTGCGCTGTATGTGGCTATAGCCTTGTTGGGACTTGCCTTGCCGCGCATCCATCACTAGTACGGTGTATGGTTAATTTTTTTGTGTTATGTCGAATACTAAGGTGGACAGGCAGAAGGGAAGAGAGCAGCTTGATGTCTTCTATAAGTATTATCCAATTTCTACTCCAATCCAGGGTTTAAACTTGAACAGCGACATACAGGCTACCATAAGTAGATAAATCCATATAATTGCTTGTAGGATGATCCACTTCCAAAGAACGAACTTCGAGCCTAGTCAAGGTCTACCGTTGCCTAATTGTCGCTCAAGGCTGCCCCGTGGCGCGCGGCTGCGAGATCGCTCTGATACCTTGACAAAATCCAGCACAGCCTAAACCGCCCTGGCCCCATCTCTCTTAACTTCATTTGAGCCCCCTAGCAGGCTCAACACGCTTCGAAACGCGTTCCCTCTTTCGTCCTGCACTTGTCTCCGAATGTCTAAGGCTTAGGCAATCCACCAGCATACGGATGACTCCAGCCCCACACGCGCAGTGATCGTTGTCGCAAAATCCACCTGGGCAAAAGACTTAGCTTAGATAGATAGCCAGCTGTGGTTCGTGGTGTAGCAGTGTCAGCATCTTTGCCTGATTTCTGGGCAGGGTCTGCACGTGACCGCCCCATGTCTGGCGATCGACACATCTCGACCCAAAGCTTAAAACAAGTGCGTGGTCTGCAAATCCCCCTGTCTTAAACTTGAACACCATGTTATGACCTATTTCTTTTTTTTTTTGTCTTTGATTCTTCATTCATTCTTTTATGGCTCTTTCCAGTATGCCCAGAGCATGACCAGTCATTCCTTTCTTTGAACATCAGCCCCGTCTAATCCGGGGTCGAGCCACCCTGTCACGTAATTTAGCCTTACTGTCAAGCTAAGCCAAACATGACATTCGCCTACCCACGCAACACGGGCGCTTCTTCCCTTCCCTCCTTCAACCAACATCTGTCGTCGAGACCACAGAATATATTCAGTCGCGTGTGGGACTCCATCCCCCCAGCGGCAAAACAATGGCTTCCCAGTAGTGTCAGTGGGGGAATTGGCAGACATCGAGAGAGTGAGGAGATTAAGACAACGGCAGTCAACCTTGTCAAACGTATCTTTACGATACCAAATGCCATTATTTTGCTGTGGATGTTCGCAATTCGATGGGGTGAACGGACAGTATTTCAGGACAGCATCAACAAATGCCTTTGGGATAGCTGGGAGGAATGGGTAAGTTGACCGTGGCACAACTGTCGCAATCCAGTTTCCTTGCCTTAGCTGGTGCTAACAGTTGAATTTATCTAGCCTCAAGATGCTACACCGCACCACATTGCCTTTATCGCCGACCCCCAACTCGTTGATCCCCACACTTATCCCGGTCGACCATGGCCTGTATCGACTTTGACAGTCAAATACACCGACCAATATATGCGACGGTCATTTTCCTTGATACAAGATCACCTCGAGCCGGACTCAGTGCTGTTTCTTGGGGACCTTTTCGATGGTGGCAGAGAATGGGCCACGGCTACAAGCAGCAGCCCCGAAGCGCGGTGGAAGAAGTATACGGACTCCTTTTGGAAGAAGGAATACGGGCGATTTATTAAAATATTCTTGGACCCGTGGGAGAAATTAGTGAAGCCATCTGTCGATGGACGAGGGCGCAGGATGATTGCTAGTCTACCTGGTAATCATGATCTTGGGTTCGGTAACGGCATCCAGGAACCCGTCCGCAATCGCTTCGAGTCCTTTTTTGGAAACCCCAACCGCGTCGATGTCATTGGGAATCACACTTTTGTTTCAGTGGACACTCCCTCGCTGAGCGCGATGGACCAACCCGATCCATTGACGGGCAGCTCTCCGACAGCCAGCGATCAAAACCGTCCCATGCGGCCGATCTGGAAAGACGCAGATGACTTCCTGGATAAGATGGCCATCCACAAGGCGAAAGCGGAGACGGACGAGCTGCGAACGCTGCAAAACAAGACCGAGGCGCATACTATATTCGATTACCGTATTGTCGACGCTGTCGAGCCTGCCATTCATCAAAAGCCTCAACCAACAGGCGTCGGCTTTCCTACTATCATCCTCACACACGTCCCTCTCTACCGCAAGCCAGCTACTCCATGTGGTCCTCTCCGCGAACGCTACCCGCCCTCTTCATTGGACGAGGAACTGGCAGAGGACGAGCCTAACTCTCTAAGAATTGCCGGAGGCTATCAGTACCAGAATGTCCTAACGCAGACCGTTTCCACCGAATTGGTTTCCAAGGCAGGACCCAACGTTGTCCAAGTGTATTCCGGCGACGACCATGACTACTGTGAAGTGTCCCATCGGGAATTCAACGGCTCGCCCAACGAAATCACAGTCAAAAGCATTTCTTGGGCGATGGGAGTCCGCCAACCGGGCTTCGTACTGACTAGTCTATGGAATCCAATCGACCCCAAGACAGGCAACACCATCCAGGACGGATCACCACCCACTATCCAAAACCACCTCTGTATCCTCCCAGACCAGCTGGGAATCTTCTTCTACTACCTCACCATCCTAGGCCTTAGCGTCTCCATCCTCCTCCTCCGTTCCATCTACCGCGTTCTCTACACCCCAGAACCATCCCCATCCGGCGCCCTCCTCCCTCTCACCGAGCGCCGCTCTCTCCCGCACCAGTATCACACCTCCGGAGCGTCTAGCTCCACCCTCTCATCCTCCACCCTCTCATCGGCGGGTAGCCTAGCCAGCCGCAATGGCATGGCAGCCTCCACCCGCTACCCCGGCACTCAATCCCCGCAAGATGCCTACCGGGGCACGGACGATGGCTTCGGAGCTGTTTCCTCAAAGGATAAGGCTGCATGGCGACCCGCCTTGGCTACCCGCTCCCGATCGACAGCATCCCTGATTGTCCGGGATCTGTACCAATCTGTCAAGTTTGTGGCGCAAGTGGTGCTGACTGTGTACTTCATCCTGATCTGGCGCTGGTAGCTAGCCCAGCCAGTCTTTTTTTCGCCTTCAGCGTTCATAACTATAATAGACAAACATTTCGCCGGAACGTGCCTAGGTGGCGTAGACCTAGTTTCTGATTGATCGTGTGATCTGTTGTCTCGTCCTCGTGATACATAAAAATAGACAGAAAAAAGTAGAATGAGCTAGAGCTCTGAGGGGTTACATCAGCCTCCAACCTAACCTTGGAACCTGCGTCACTTCTCGGCCAAACCCACCAGCATCGACTGGCATGTGTTTATTCCCCGGGTCTGGCACCGATCTGGCTAGCCACAGACCGCCGGTGTCTCCGAAGATTCTCCGTAAGCGACCAATGTCGGGAGAGCTTCGGGTAGTCTGTCCAATCCGAGACTCGGGAAAAATAGCGCAAGACACGGGACAAGCCATTTTGTTTGGTTTTTCCCCGGCAATTTTAGCACTTTTGACACTTGCATGTCCTCGGGGAAATCAAACTTCGGAACGGGGAAATTAATCGTCTCATACTTTTTTTCTCTTCCCGATTCGGCTCCGGTGAACACTGACCAGATCATCAACATGTTCGGTTATTGGTCCTAGAAATCTCGAGCCCCTACTCCGTACAGGTCTGGGGAAATTTGGGTCTGGGGTGAGGGGAAAAGATGGGGGAAAACTTATTCGAACAATTGAATTATTTCACAGTCTTCCTACTGTTCCAAGTAAAGCGTGAAACCCTCATATAATACACGTTGCAACTATACCGAAGACCAGCCCAATTACAATCCCGTAAAAATTGCGGAATTATGTAAGAAATTTTTCCAAGGCCGTTACCTTTTCCCCGATGCGGGACGCCGATACCGATCGGCATTAGCCCAAGCCGACTCCCTGTTTTCGGCCTGTCGTGTCATGTGGTATGTAAAAAAAGCTATTTCCGTCCCATATTCCTAAGACATGTTTGTACACATCGGAATAGCCGAAGTCGATACAATCCAATGCAATATTGCGTACATTCTACATATATTCTCAATGTTTATTTTTGCCGATCATACTATGCAAGGAAAGTGCAAACCCTGTGTAACGTAAGGTTCAGGGCGCAGAAAAGAAAAACCTTGGGACTCGGTTCGGCGTCGAGCCAATTCTAGTGTTGGGCCAATGGCCAGCCCGGTAGGAGTCCGGGGGCTGAGTCCACTCAGCTGCCATTGGCTTCTCCACTCTCGGTTGAAACTCTATCCCCAGGCCTAAAACATCCAGAAATACGTGGGAATGGGGAAAATACTGAAAATTCTATTCTGGGATTGGACAGGATGCAGATTTTTTCTCCCTTGTGCTGTCTAGGTGGTTCCACCCCGTGCTGTTTTCGGGGTTTGTTGATTGCCAATTTCCCCGGGCCTGGAGGGCCATGTGGTTGAGAATTTGGGGACTGGGGAAGTACAAATAGAAGGGATTGACCTCCAGGTTTTGGTTTTTCTTTTTTCGTTATACTTACTTATTCTACTCTACTTTCTCCGACTGTTCTCTACTATATCACGCTTCTCTACCAAGTCCTTTCTATACTCATACAACACATACCTCCTTGGCTTGAACTAGTTTCTATCTGATCACATTCACAATGGGCTTCGCTTTGAAGAGGCCAGATGATGCCGTGGGCTCTGCTGCCCCGGCTATCATGATTGGATTGTTCGTTGCATTCGGTGGTGTTCTCTTTGGGTATGTGCCACTTTCCAGTTCTATACTCCTATTCCCAAAGACAGGTCTAACATCCATCTAGATATGACACAGGTACCATCAGCGGTATCCTCGCCATGAAGAAATGGCGCGAGATGTTCTCAACCGGCTTCATCAACGAGAAGGATCACTTGCCCGATGTCACCTCCTCCCAATCATCCATGATTGTCTCTCTCCTCTCAGCTGGAACTTTCTTCGGTGCCCTTGGCGCCGCCCCTATCGCTGATAAATTGGGTCGTCGATGGGGAATGATCGTTGAGAGTGTCGTCTTTGTCTTTGGAGTCATCCTCCAAACCATCTCAACCTCTATTCCCCTCTTCGTCGCCGGCCGTTTCTTCGCCGGTTTGGGTGTCGGTCTCCTCTCCGCCACAATCCCCCTCTACCAATCCGAGACTGCACCCAAATGGATCCGTGGTACAATCGTCGGTGCCTACCAACTCGCCATCACAATCGGTCTCCTCCTCGCTGCCATCGTCAACAACGCTACCAAGGACCGTGATGACACTGGCTGCTACCGAATCCCCATTGCTGTCCAATTCGCCTGGGCCATCATCCTCGTCGTCGGCATGCTGGTTCTTCCCGAAACCCCCCGTTTCCTGATCAAGCAAGACCGCTATGAAGAGGCTACCAAGGCCCTCGCTCGTCTCCGTCGCATGGACGTGAGCGACCCTGCCATCGTCGCTGAACTTGCCGAGATCCAGGCAAACCACGAATACGAAATGAGTCTTGGAAAGGCCACCTACTTCGAGATCGTCCGTGGATCCCTCGGCAAGCGTCTCGCAACTGGCTGCGCTGTCCAGGGTCTGCAGCAGCTTGCTGGTGTCAACTTCATCTGTACGTTTCCTATTCCCTAACTCACTACCCCTTGTCACAAACTAACAAAATCCACAGTCTACTACGGTACCACCTTCTTCCAGAACTCCGGCATCCAAAATTCCTTCGTCATCACTCTGATCACCAGCATCATCAACGTCGTCTCCACCTTCCCCGGTCTCTACATGGTCGAGAAATGGGGTCGCCGTCCTTTGCTCATGTTCGGTGCTGTCGGAATGTGCGTCTCGCAACTCATTGTCGCAATCGTTGGCACAGCCATCGACTCCGATGTCTCGAACAAGGTCCTCATTGCCTTCGTGTGCATCTACATCTTCTTCTTCGCCAGTTCCTGGGGCCCCGTTGCCTGGGTCGTCACCGGTGAACTGTTCCCCCTCAAGGCTCGCGCCAAGTGTCTCTCCATCACCACCGCCACCAACTGGCTGCTCAACTGGGCTATTGCCTACGCTACTCCGTACATGGTGAACAGCGGACCTGGAAATGCCAACCTCCAGTCTAAGGTGTTCTTCATCTGGGGTGGATTCTGCTTTGTCTGTGGTGTGTTTGTTTACACTTGCATTTACGAGACCAAGGGTCTTTCCCTTGAGCAGGTTGATGAACTTTACTCCAAGGTTCCCCGCGCTTGGAACTCTGTTGGCTGGGTTCCTTCCGTTAACTACACTGAGCAGCTTGAGTTTGATGCTGGTGAGAAGAAGGCTGAGGCTGCTACCCACCTTGAGAGTGTTGGTCCTAAGACTGAAGCTTGATTTTAATGTTGTGGGATGTTTTACGATTTTCCTTTTCTTTGTTTTATAGATACTTGGTATAATTTGAGCGTGACTCCTTGTTGAATGGTCCATTATTATTGTGATATGGTCTTATGTTATGAGCTGAAATATGATTTTTATCTTCTATACGATTTTCGATTCTTTATTCGTAAACTAAGTAGACACAGAATGATAGATATAAGGAACTATATATTCCTACTACATATAGAGTACAATGTAAATAAACCCCGGAGAGACCAGATAACATTATAAAATTGCCCCTTTCTGCTTTCTACCCGCAGTTCGGAACGTATTCGGTCAAAAGGAATTACTGATCATTGCCTGTTTTGTTAAGGTTTTAACTCGGCATCCGGACCATTTCGCCGAAAGGGTCTGTGGACGGTTTAATTACTAGCGTGGTATCACCCTGGAAGACCCTCTTGCCATTTACCCTATGAGCTTTACTTTGCAGCCTCACATACGGGATCAACGGGGTCGAGTTGATTCTCGCCCGTCAGACAAAGCATCTTCCACAGATAGACCAAAACAAGACGAACTTTGCAGGGTATCATGGTATACGACGCTTTACGCATGTTGTCTCTATTATGCTCATACATCATATACGAGTTTCACGGATAAATAAAGTCAAGCCGAGCTTGCGAATAATGCCACCAGCTGGCTCCGTCACCTGTGGCTCCGGGTCTAGTGACGGTAATAGCTACAGGAGAGCTCTTCGACAGATTCTCACGTCGGATTGCTATTTTGTGGAAATGGTCAGATCTCGCAAATCCGGTTCAATGGAGAACAACGACAATGAAGGTTGACGGGGGCTCAGAATTGAACAAGTTGCCAACAAAGCCAAAAGATCAGTTCCTAGGCTTCTGCTTAACCTCTTCACTGTCAATGTTGGATCAAATTATTACATCCAAGACTTTGAGATTGGGACTGCCGGAAAGCGAGTGAGTGACATGCTCGAATACCTTTGGGCGTCGTCTTCTGGTTCAATGGTCGTCCTTTCTACGCTCCTTCCAAACTTGGGTGGGAATCACGAGTCCTACGCGTCAATGAGCAGTTCTGGGGAATAGCAAAAGCGAGAGCGGCTGAAGGAAGAAAAATTATCGTTGTATACATGCATGGCCCTGGTGGACCTCAGATCAGTGATTTGGCAGATGGCACACATCCCAATGATGTGGGATATGCAAAGATGCCAAATATTTGGCGCAGAGACACTCATGAAGCTGTAGATAAAGACTTATCTATTTGTCCCGTTTAACGGCTCTTGGGATTACCTATAGGTAACCCTCCGGGAGTCTAATCTTTAGGTAGACTCCCCTTAGAATCGAAGATTAGAACCTCAAACCGGCCTAATAGCGAGGCTATCCAAGGGTCGTAAGGGTCACCCGCGGGTCACTGCTAGGTCTGGCCCTACCTATATATATAGGTACCAAATATATATGTAGTGGTATATACCGGGTTTTACACTGTACATACGAATCCCCCGATCCGGGTGCCGTTGCTTTATGATGCTTATGGGACGGAAGTGTACGGCCTTCTATTTGATATGGCTATATAGTAGCTATTTAAAATAGCAATAAGCGAATGTAATCCGAATTTCTAGTCTACTTACCGGTGCAAACGGCGGTAGCTAGCATCTTAACTACATCAGTGGACGTCGATAAAACCAGCCTCGGGCGCAACAAGAAGTTCCAGAAGTTACTGGGGTATCCTGTTGAAGTATGTCTATTTTTCAGTTATCATGTGGTCAAGATCCTGGCATCTTGTCGGGCTTGAAGTCTTTACGGCGTGAAACTCAGCCCGTTAGAAAACTGAAATTCTTAGCTAACACTACTTAGGGTGATGTATATATATATATTGGCTCATATGTTACGAAAAATAGCCAATTCGCATATCGAACATATTTTCAAGTAGAATTGAACTAAAAGTAATAGTCGGACAGCTACCGGACCGATGACAAGCGTCCAAGCCACAAATCGGCAGGACGTGGAGAGAGTGGTTTCAAGTTAGATAGACAAGCACCTGGCCTTTCCCAAAGCAAGATTATCAATGTGTTTGTAGTCAAGTATGTAAAGGTTTCTGGTCTTATAACAACAAGGCACTTTGGCGGAGTGGTTAACGCGATGCCCTGCTATACATGAAAATGTGAGTCTAGGCATTTCCCTCGGGAGCGTGTGTTCGAATCACACAGGTGTCGGTTTTTTTAATAATTTTTGCTACCATCTCTCTCTAAATCGCATTTAGATTGAGAAAGTTTTTGTCCCCCATTCACGAATAGTAAGCAAACCTAATTTTTTAATTGCACGTAAAGGAATAATCCTGGAGACAGTTCTCTAAATTAGAGGTTTACAAATTTAATATATACTCCGCAGGGAATAGATTAGGTTGTATTGGGCACTTGGCACCGGTTACATACCCTGCCAAGCCAGTTCGACCGACCACGCTAACGCATGCATGCCACCGGTAATGACTTTGGTATTCTTTCAAATACATATAACTAATTAATTACAGAAGAGCCATGAGATATGTGATAATTGACGATTGATTATTATTGTAAGTATTAAACCAACCAAAAAAAAAAAATTGGAAAGTACGTGCATATCTATTAACGTGGTTGCAGCCGGATTGGCTTAGCAGAGGATGGAGCGTAGAAATTAAAAAAAAGACCGACACCTGTGTGATTCGAACACACGCTCCCGAGGGAAATGCCTAGACTCACATTTTCATGTATAGCAGGGCATCGCGTTAACCACTCCGCCAAAGTGCCTTCTTATATAATAGGCTCACTTGGCAGCTCTTCACTATAGAGAAAAGACTGGCTGGAGCCTATATAGTGATACCTCATTAGTAATTACGAAGGGTTATAAAATAGTGAGTGGCCCTAATCTTAGCGTTATAACAACTTAGTTAAATATGCTCTTTCAAAGATTTAGCTTATAATATAATTCTAAGTATTAGACCTGGCAGTGACCCGCGGGTGACCCTCACGACCCTCTGTAACGGATAAAGATCCTCACAACAGGGGAACAGAATTCTCGCTTAACCTTATCGGCTGGGTCACGAGAGTAGAGCACCACTGATTCGTTGCTGACTCCATGCAATCAAAGCGGGGTATAGTGATAGATAATTTAGGACTCCCCTGGATCCTGTTTCTGGGACAAGAATTAGTCTTGTTACGTCGAGACAATACAATCTGTTACTCTCTCCTACCATCGTATCTAGACTGCGGCACGATCCGCAATATCCGCGGATATCCACAATCCATATCCGCAAAGTGCGGATTTGGATATAGACCTCATATCCATTGGATATCTGCGGATATCCAATGGATATCAAACAGAGCAAACACGCTAAGACATGCCAAGAAACTTCCTATTTAGGAGGTCATATGACTAAAATCCATAGAGATATGCATAAAAATTACTAGATCTAGTAATTTTAGCGAGATTTTACTAGTGCGGATATCCAAGGATATCCGCACTGCGGATGTGGATATCAACTCATATCCAATATCCGCAATTTGCGGATATAAGGATCGATCTGATATCCATTGGAGCGGATATGCCGCAGTCTAATCGTATCTTACCCGGTTGACAGGCCGTACACCTGAAAATAGTATACCTTAACACCTACCCTCTTATTCTACTGAAATTTTAGAGGATTGATAGCGAATTGGTAGTATAGTAAGTGGTTAAAGAAGAAGGGGGCAAATTAATTAACGCTTTTTAGGTAGGGTGGCCGGATCGCCTATATAGCCGGCTCGCCTATGAAATACGTTATTATGCTCATACATAGGATAAGATTTCCTATAAGGTCACAAAAATTTCCTAATAAGGGCCTTTTCGCAAATATATCTAGTTATCTATGAATGTTACCAGCCAGATCTTCAAGCAAAAGAGTGCATTTAACGAAAATGCTAAGTATAGGGAGTAAAAGGAAGAAGAAGAGAGGAAACCTGTCTAGCAGGACCTTTGTGGGGTCCTGTCTCGTTAACAAACAATGCAAACTTTATTAAGACGGAAACATTCGGCAGAAATCTTTCCAGGCGGTAAACAACGGCAGAAAAGATCCAGATCGTCACACGTCTCTAATACTTTTCCCCCTTTACTAGTATGAGGCTACCCGAGGGGTTAGAGGGGCTGTTAAATAACAGCAAAAAAACGACACCTGTGTGATTCGAACACACGCTCCCGAGGGAAATGCCTAGACTCACATTTTCATGTATAGCAGGGCATCGCGTTAACCACTCCGCCAAAGTGCCTTGTTATGAAATTTTTGGCAAAATTTATATAAATGAGCATGCATGTTGAAAATTCAATTTACTTCAAGTCATAATTAACATGCTTTCGGAGTTCAACGCTAAACCCTAATTGGACATCCCGCACGACCTAGACCTAGACTAGTCTAGGTTCGTCGAAACTACTTTTTTTTAATCGGGTCGTCGAACGCGGCCACCAGGCGGTGTCCGGGTTCCCGGGCGCAATGATACTTTTTTCAACCTAGCCATCTTCATTAATTCACCATTACCCCAGATCTTCATATTATGTCTCAAGAATTAGAAGACCGCATTATCAAGGCTTTAGAAGCATACCATGCTGCTAAGAAGCCCAAAATCGCGTCGATCGCGCGGGAATTTAGCATTCCATACCAAACCTTCAGAGGGCGAGTTCAGGGTCGGAAATCTCGAGCGGCCCAAACCCCAGGCAATAAAGCTCTAGAACCTGAGCAAGAAAAGGCCTTAATTCTATGGATTGATACCTTAGATCAGGCCTTTTCTCCGCCATCAGCAGCGCGAATTCAGGGTGCTGCCTTGCAAATTATCTAGCGTCATGATCCTTCCCGAACCCTAGGAAAAAACTGGGCTTACGATTTCATCGCTCGTTTACCACCGCGCTTTCAAAATATTAAGCAAAAACCTATAGAAAGGGCTAGACTGCGACATCGCCCATGGACGGGCGGGTGGGCAGTGCCCACGGGCCTTATGT